AAATGATGGTAATCAGAAAGGGACCAGAATCTTGACAAACACGCATATAGGGTAGTTTCCCAAAATAGGGGAACCCCAATATAGACCCAAAAATATTACAGTCCTTATTACTGGGACCCCCAAAAAGGTACCCCTGATTTTGGGAAACCCCCATATGGGTACATCCCAAGTTCAGCCTATCCGGGATCCCTGCTGTCCTTGCTGTTTGGGTTCCAGTATCATATGGATCCTGATATAGGATTCACCCATTAGAATGTTTTGAGACTATTTGTATCCCTGCCTTCGTTTCAATACCCAGGCTATCAAACATGCGCTTCATGTTGAGTGCTAGCTGAATGTACGAACCCGCAAGAACCTAAACCGAATTCTACACCTGAGACCTAGAGCCCCAAAACCGACGAAGCCCTGCTTGTTGAGGTAATGCTCTCTCAGGTCTACAACCAGCAAAAATGAGGGTTCCGTGGGTTCCAGCTTAACTAGAAGGAACATTGATCTTTACGGGGGTAGGGGTGCTTATTCTCGATGATAGCATGAGGATGTGCACGGGTCAACACACAATCTCTGCGCGTTACATGCACTCGGCCCTTCACAGTTTGTGCTGTTTTTTTGTGCAGGATTAGAGCTCTCTTATATGCTCTTTACTCCAATGGCCCTGTCTCAAAAACAGTTCGAGTTGTCCGTTGGATCTTTCAAAGACTCTGGCTCCCAACAGGAGTGCTTCGTTTTCAGTTGGTTGGAATGCCCTGGTGTTAATTCCAAGAATCTTGAAGCCTAAGTGCCTTACTCCCCAGGCCCCAAGCAATGGTCCCTAAATGAGGTCCTAAATGCAAATTCTGGATTCTAAACGCCAAGTCTGCCCTCAAACCCTAAATCCTGATTGCATATATATATATATGTATGGGTATACGTATAAATATACACACATACACTTGTACATATATTTTTCTGTATACATACTTACTTACATGCATTTATTGGTATAAACACAATGATACGTACCTGGGCGGACAGTAAGTGCAGTATACATTTTTTACGTACAGACTGTATTACACCACATTATACTCTACTGTTTTAAACTATATACTATACACAAAATTATATTACAATACATTGTAAGCTATCTCATAGTATCATAGAGTATAAATCAGATTATAATGGAATTTAAGATAAAGTATATCAAAATATTATATACTATAGATTATAAAGTATAGTATTGTATAACATGATATAAGCTATCTTTTACAAAAAAATACAATACAAGTTATATCATAACATAATATACTATGAACACACACACACACACGATAGCCCTAAACCCTAAGCCCAAAACCGTAAACCCTAAACGCCAAACCCTGGACCGAGCCAGGGCTCACTATCTCAAGTCGGCTCCACGCAGCCCTGGGACAACGATGTGGCCTGCCCCTCGTGTGGGTAGCTCCTCAAATGCAGGTGTGATAGGATCTCCAGGTTTAGGGTTTCGGGCAAATCCTTGATAGTTGGCAGAATAAGGGGACCCCAATACAGACCCCAAAATACTAGAAGCCTGATTATGGGGGCCCCAAACAGGTACCCCTAATTTTGGGAAACTCCCGTGCTGGTTTGGAATTTAGGGGTTCAGGCTTTTGGATGCAAGTCCAATATGCTCAACTGCAAGGGGCCACAATGATGAAGAGTATCCACGAAGGGTGTGCAATTTGGAACCATGCTGCTGCCATTGAATGAACTGGAGGCAACACAACTGATATTATCAGAAGAACAAGATGATGCAAACGTCTTTTCAGACTTGCCTTCCTGGTGAGAGTGATACTTGTTATTGTTGCCGCCGCAAGCGCAGCAGGATGATCAGCATGCTTGGTATGTTGTGCTACACGGATTTCTTCAACATGGTACACTCGGGATCCTGGGAGATTCTAGGGATTTAAGGAAACATCATAGGGGTCCCTACTGTTTCAAAGTATGCCGCACCCTGACACTGAAGGGAGCTGACCGCACGCTGCTGGAGCTGAACGGCTTCTTTGCGGCGAGCCCAGAAGCATGTGGTGGAGCCTCAACAAATGTCTTAGAGATCAAGATATTTCCCCATAATGAGATGTAATCTTTGCCCATGAGCACAGGATTCGAGAGGGGTTTGGCATGGAATTTACAAGGCTCTGGGGGATGAACTGAATCATCAGGATCATTTCAGGGGTGAGCAATTGGCTTGCAACAATGCCAAAACACATTCATAGTTGGATTGGGAGTTGCAGCAAAGCCAGGTCTAGAAGCATTGCAGTAAACAGACAGCGAATGCGCCTAATGCACTCGAAGGTGCAGTCATATTCTAGGGTTTAGGGTTTAAGGTTTAGGCGCTACTCTGACATTAGTGGGATGTGATAAGGGCCACCTATGGTAGTTTCCCTAAACAGGGGGACCCTACTTCAGACCCCGAAATATTGTAATCCTTAGCCTGAGTATGGGGACCCCCAAAAGGTACCCCTAATTTTGGGAAACCCTAAACCCTATATATCCCTATATAACCCCTATATAACACCTTTAAAAGTACCCTTTATTTGGGAACGTATGTGAAAAGCCCCAACGAGGTGCCGCCACTTCAGGCAAACTACAGCTTCTACATTTGTGGCCTCGACCTTAGCGGTTTAGCGGTTGAGGGTTCAGGGGCCTCAACCTTTGCTTACTGGGGATTAGCAGGGAACAGGGGAATATATTATGGGGCTTATAATGTATATAGGGATTATATTCCCTTATCTCCTACTAACCCCAGTAAGTTTGTCAGCACAGCGGGAAAGGTCAGGTCTTGGGTCTGTGAATCCAATTGGGTTCGGCCTGGTCCTTCTTGAGAGCGAAGGGGGGAATGGGTTTCTTTGAGGTTCCCATAGAATTTGTTATAGTGGTGGTTCCTATAGAGGGAGTCTCCCAAAATCTTGAGTCTGTTTGGGCCCCTCTCATAAGTATTGCAGTATCCATTTACTATGTAGACCCCCCCCCTCTGCTCCCTCTTACCTATGCAAAGCGGACGGGGAGAAGGACCTAGATTGGAAGCCCGGGCGATGCTGAAGCTACCGCCGAGGATCTCTCATGTACGACTATCTCGACAATTTAGAGCTTTGCCCACCCGGAAGTTTCTCAAAATAAGGGGGCTCTCGGGGACCCTCGGGATATATTAAGGAAGTTATAAACTGTCCCCCTTAAGGAGTGTGTAGGGACTGTTTAGATAAAGTACCACATTGGCATGACGCCGCTCAGGTGACGATGGTGCTTCTGTGGAGCCCTTGCCTAAGGCCGTTCTCGTCGTTTATCTTTTGCAGCCCCAAAGCTGTTGCAGAGTCGGTTTAGGGTTTGGGGTTTAGCCCTAAACCCTAAACCGTTCGAACTGCAGTGCTTAGGCGACCGGGTCAAAAAGTTCAAGGGTTATACCCGCACTTGTGGCTGATGATTTCGAATTCTTTGCAGTGCATGTCAGAAGCTCGTCTAAGGAGGATTAAAAAAAAGGACGGCGTACCACATGCCCGACGCTTGCATCAAGTGCCTCCATCCTCACCTAAACCCTGAGCGCTTGAGCCCTCAAGCCCTAAGCACGTCTGGTTTTCCTGCATGACTGAGGATTGGGGAATACGAAACCATGCCTGACCCCAATCTGCGCACAGTGGCCTTCTTTTCTGAGTGGGCCGGTGACTTAGTGGACTTGTGGGTTGTAGGGCTCATGTCTCCTTTTGCTTCAAATGCAAGATCCTGAGAAAACAATCACAGTAGAACCCTCACGGGCCCTCAACATCTTTTTGTTCTCGTTGCATATCCATTCAGTGTTTAGAACGCCTCAAATAGGATGGCTTCAAAAGTCAGATGTCTTCTTCTGTACCAGTCAGTCCAGAAGAATACAGATTCGAATGTTTTGGTCTTAACCTCTGCCGGGAAGCGGCATTGATTGGAAGTCCTTCCATCTGGTTAAAGCTTTACGGTTTGGGATTTCTGCTTGCCAAGCTTCAAAACGGATCTTCCAGACAGATCACCCCATAAACTCTGTATATTGATGACCAGACTCCTCAAACCATCGCAGCACACATCGTGGTTGATGTAAAGGTCCTTTGGGAAATAATTTGGGATCCAGTAGGTCAACAAATAGGGGAAAGTAGACTAAGCCCCAAACCAAAATCCCCACATTCCCAACCCCGAATCCGAAACCCTCAACCGTACACAAAAACTCCGAACCATTAACCCTAAATCAAAACCTGCCAACCCTAACCTGTAAACCCTAAACCTTTGGCTTCGAAGGTCACCTCGAGCGACTATGGACTAGTCTCGCCTTTCTGCTGGTCCGCCCCCTTTCCAGATAGTGGTTTCATAAAAATGATGGCGTCTTCTTGTGGGATCCTTTTGTAACGGTTTCGGTATGTTGGGATATGTAACAGCGAACCTGTTTTCTTGAAACACCCGGACTATTTGGGATCGATCTGCACGTTCTTATTGATTGTATGCGGTCCATACCATTCTACAGGAGGATGTGGTGTTACATCCGAGAGAGTGCATCTCGCTCCTCTCGTCAGGTACTTCCGTGAGGACGTATCATCTGGTGACTTCATAGGAGCTTCTGGGTGTGTCATGCAATTTCTCCCAGCATAGTTTTTTGAGGAGTATTTTTGATGGTGTGTTGCTGACTGGCAGGAGAGGACAAGATGATCTCCGAAGACATTGCCCTTACAGCCGGCCTGTTGGAGTCTCAGTCTGGACTCTGAGCAGAGCGACACGCTTTGGTGCACATGTGCCAGATATGTGATACTCCTTTTGGGGGATGGGGTATCAAGGACGTTCCTGGTGGTAAGAAACATTAGTTACCCTTAAGAATTGTTGCGTACCCTTGCAGTAGAATAGAGTGTGCGTAGCATGTGCATGCTTGTGACTACACTTAGATGCGGCTTGCGTACGATTTTTGCTCTCTCTCAAGACGAGCCGAAGTATGCTGAATCTGGACTGATGACATCTCATGGTGTCTCTTTGGGGGCACGATGTCGACCTTGCCTTCCAGTTTCCCTTGGACCAAGAATCCAGAGCTACCCGCTTTGACCAGGAGGCAGTCGCTCCTGTCTGGACTCTGGCAGGCAGCTTCATCGGGTCTGACGGAGGAAGACCTGCCTTTTACAGCAGTGACGGTGAACTTGCCCAACTTGAACGCCCCCGTTCACACGACAGTTCAGAGCTCCAAGTCCTTCGTACGAGGATCAGAGCACGTGAGCACTCACAGCGGGATTAGTCTTGATAGCACAGATTCCGCTCGGCGCAAAGCGCTGCTGTCAACGCTGGAAGATGGAGCCCGATACACTCAGCGCTTCAAGGATTGCTGCCGGCGCAAGTATGGCAAACTGGTTAGGGCTTGGCGGATTCTTCTAGATCCAGGTGGAAACGGCCGCGTTTCATTCGTACCTTTCTGCAATGCTGCTCGTGACATGGGATTTGTGAATGTCTCCACGCTGCTCATTCGCATTAAACCAACAGCCAAGCATGGTCAAAAACGAGCGGATCTAGACTGGATTCCTCGTCTTAGCCACTATGGTCTCAGTGTGCAATGTCCATAGTGCGATTGTTTTTCTGATACTCAGTCTTAGCGCAAAGCGGGTTCTCTGAGACAGTCCCAAGAAGCAGGCTTTGGAGACACCTCGACGTGAAGTGCACTGGTTTCCTCACTCTGGACAACTGGGATCCTGCTTCTTTTCGGGTCCTGATGGAGTTCAGAGAGTAACTTGGATGCAGAGGAGGTCACGATGAGACTTGCAAGCTGTCTCTATGAAATGATTATTGTTAAACCAATAATCTCTAGGGTTTAGGGTTTAGGGTGTAGGGCTATTATAATGATAGGAATATGTACTATTCTTACTAGAGGGAGCAGAGGGCTAATGGAAAACAGAATGGAAACTGCTAAAGTAGAACAGGGTATATATGGTAGTTTCCCAAAATAAGGGGACCCCAATATACTATAATCCTTATTATGGGGACCCCCAATAAGGTACCCCTAATTTTGGGAAACCCCCATATTGGGGTGGCAAGCATTCTGACACCTAAGCCTTTGGCTGATTGCATCCCGAGAGTTTAGGGTTTAGGGTTTAGGGTTGGAGGCTCAGGGTACTGAGTAAGTAGGTTCACAATGGGGCTTTTGGGCCTTGTAGGGATTAGAAATTACAAGTCTAGTAAGTAAGACCCTCCACTACAACCCCGAATATGATCCCTATATAGCTATAGCCCTATAATATAGTAGTCTCCAGCTTCTTTTTTATCCCCTATATAATCATTGTTTTCACAAGCATTACTCCACGTGAGGATTTGCAGATCCGAATTTGGTGGAGTCGTGGAAGCCTTCAAGTTCGGCATGAACAGAACGGGGTCGGGAACTTGCCGGAGACCCAGCAGCCAGATGTGGGTACTTTCCAAAATTTCCAGTTTCCTCCGTAAGGCCTTTCAGGGTCGTGCATTTTGAGAGATGGGACCTTCTCAAGACTAGGATCGGCTCATTGCCAGCCAGCTAGCTACGAGATGAGCTAGGTCTTTAATCACCCTAGAAGGGGATCCGAAATCTCGAGACGCCCCGGGATTGTGTTAGCCTTCTCATCAGCTTTAAGTCGGATACGCATACCTCCAGTTAGCAATCAATGAAGGGGAGGATCCCCTTAGTAGTCTAGATATTTCCCGATTTTATAGTACATTCTATTTTCCATTCCTTCATTCCATGCTAACCAGAAGCAAGTGCGTCGCAGTCGCTCGCTCCGTGCCCTTGCTTTGAGGTTACAGGAAAGAGTTTGACCAGTTCCTCAAGAACTTCGAATTCTCCGGAGATTCCCAAATACTCTGGGACTCTTTGGACAAAGATCGTGGCGGTTTCATTACAGCAGCTTGTTTTGCTTGCAAAGCTACTTTTGCGTGTGCGGAAGGTCATTGGTTTAATGGCATGGCTATGGATCACCTAGTTTGCCTTTCCTTGTCTGTATTAATACTTGTATGGAGTAGTGTTTAGCAGTTTTAAGATATTCAGATTTTGCATCAGACGTTCTATTCTCCAAATTCAGACACGATCTCTCGTGACCAGTGAGTTTGCGGACTGTGATGAACACTAAATCATGGTTTGCAAGTCCACAGACATGCTGTCATTGTGGTGCCATATCCAAGCCGGAAGCGTCACACTGCCAAATCGATATTGGTATCATGTTGAGGTCGATGAACTATTTTTCCTGGAACGCTGGCAGGGAGAGCGCTTCCGACCCGAGAAGGCAAATGGCATCACTTGTTGGACTGCTTAGCACTAGACCCTATATACCCCCCCTGGATCTCCTCTAAAGGTACCTCTCTTGATTTACTCGCAGCTGTACTTGTTGTGCAGATCGAGCGTGAGTTCAATCTCGGGCTTGCGCGCTTGAAGATATGCAAGCAGCAGCGCCGGAAGCACCAAGAAAGGAGATGCTTGCTGCCTCTGAATACTGGTGCTTATTAGGGTTTAGGGTTTAGGGTATCACACCTTTGCCGCACATTACTATCATTACTGTAACCATCATTTCTACTAATACTATTATTATGATTACTATGCAGCAAAAGTTTGCTGCTTGTCTGGAGACTGTGCGAGGATGAATGAATTCAAAGCTCGGATTGAAGATGGGCAACAAGCCTTAGCAGCTTGGCTGCAAATGGGAATGATAGGGATATGATAAGGATAGTTTGTTTAGGGTGTAGGGCTTACGGGATTTTGTGACAGGGATATTCTAGGGATACCTTAGGGATATTAATATGATGGGTATATTATAGGGATAGGATATTACAACAGTAATATTATAGGAATATTTCAGGGATTCTTATAATGGGGACATTTTATGGACATTTAAGGGATTCATTGTAGGCCAACTTTAGGGATATTAGAATAGGGATAGTTTAGGGATATTGCAATGGGGATATTGTCGGGATTCTATATTATAGGGAAGCCCTCTGCATATGTCCAGCAAATTGGAGTCAACGCTTTTTCCTGTTTCTGTTCCATTCCTGAACCTGTCTGGCTTGTTAAGAGCTGGTATGGCATACCATGGCAAGCGAATGGCCAGTACTGTGCTCCGTGTGGAAGTTACGCTTGGAAAGCTGCCCTAAACCCTAAACCCTAGGGTTTAGGGGTTAGGGTTTAGGGTTTAGGGTTCCCTAAACCCTAAACCCCGACATCGCTTCTGACTTCAGTCCAGTGTTCTGCTACAAGACCTTCATCTTCGAGGGCTTCTGAATGCGTCTGTGCCAGAAGCAGATGTCAACCACTAGGGACAACAAGGCTTGGGGTTTAGGGTTTAGGGTTCGGGGTTTAGGGTTTAGGGACTGTATGACGGAAAGGTTCTTGAGGATCCCTGTGGAAGCAGAAGGAACTTCGACAAAAGTTGGGTTGCTGTTGAGGAACTTAACTTATTGGGGAAACCCTATGATCTATTATGTATGTGCATTATGGCAACTTAATTTAAGTTCCTGAACAGCAAGCCAGAAAAGAGAGACGTGGGATGGGCCTCCTGCACTCTCTCGCCTTAAAAGCTGCCTTCCGAAAGCACCGTCGTCTCTCAGAGATGTGGGTGCCCTCTTGGGAGTTTTTAGGATCATAATAGGCGTTGGTTAATTGGGGTATACAGAGCTCAGATTGCTTTAGTTTTTTGACTTGCCATCACGAGGTTCCGAAATGAAGTTGCACGCACAGGGTTAGGAATCGAATTGTATCTTACACACATCCGACACTCTAAACCTGAAACTCATTTCCGGAGCTTCGTGCTGTGCAGAAAAGGTTCGGGGGTTGGAAACAAAGCACCTGAAACTCTTCAGTAAAGAAAACAATCAGGCAGTAGAACGTAAACGACTCAGGAACGGAACCGCAGCCTCAGAATCGCAGCCGCGAAGCGGCCTACCTTTGTGATTCAAGCGGCTTGTGCAGCATTGTGCTTGATGATGCTTCTTTGCTGCTTGTTTTGGTGGCGATGGCAGCGGGCGAGGATGAGAAGGTGGAGGAGGAGGCGGAGGAGGGAGGAAGAAGAGGAGGAAGAAGGGGAGGGGGAGGGGGAGGGGGAGGGGAGGGGGAGGGGGAGGAGGAGGCCTGCTAGTCTCTTTCAGATGGCATTTGTTCTTCCTATCATTAGTTTCTGTGCTGTTGGTCTCTTGTCACGGCCAGGAGAAGCTGCTGGCAATGAGCGACGAGGATCCTAACGAGCCTGACGTCGACAGCGATGGCGATGATATATAGCGGAGCATGTGGAAGTTTACAAGAACAAGGGGCCATTGTATCAGACCTTTTGTAGATCATATCGGGATTGCAGATGTTTTGTGGGCTCCATAGCGGGACCCAACATTGAGAAGGATCCACGTAGTTGGCTTGCAAGTAGGTTGTTGCTTGTGAGTTTTTATGGCTTGTCACCAAGCACGTTTCACAAGTAAATGGCCGGATTCCTTGCGAACTAGGGGCCTTTCGTCAAGCGCCTGGCCCCCATTCAGGCTGCACTCGGAGTCTCTGAGTTAGCAAGCCGTATTCCGCTGCCTCTTCCTGGTTGCTGTTAGGAATTCAAGGCAGACATGTGGTGATCTTCAGCACTATGATTGGCCGCAGCGGAAGGGTGTTGGCTTGCCTTCGGCATGCAACCAGGCTTCTCCCTAGATCCGCAATTTGAGAGCAGATGCAGCACTTGCCACGAGACATTTTGTTTAGTATCCCCCTTAATAGCCCCTACAATACTCCCCCATACAATCCCACATATCACGCCCCTTCCAGGAGACCCTAAACCCTACATAACCCCCCCCTTTCAGGAGTTTAGACCCTAAGCCCTAAACCCTGTATATCCCCCCTTTAAGGAGCTTAGACTATAGCTTAAGGAGCTTAGACTATAGCAAAGGGGCGATGGGCAAGCTGCTAGCCCTGCTTGATTTTCCCACAGAGGAGCTTGGGGTTGAGGCAAGATGTAAAAAATTCTGGTCATGTCTGTTTGGCCTGTTGTGTACTTTTGTTGTTTTTCTCTTTTCAGATTCCCCTTGTGGCTGAGGCAGTTCCCTTTCCGCTTCAGGCATCACTCAGGCACAGGCCGGATCTACTGCAAATGTAGACATGCAATCAGTGCAGTTGTCTTGCTTGGCTTGCCCAGGAGCCAATTGGTTCCGCTTTGGCGTGAAGGTGGCCGCGTTTGTTCGCTCATGTTTGTGGCTTTGCCTCAGACGATGCTCTGCCTCGCACAGGTTACTGGCTTGAGTTCAGCGACCACAGACAGAGCCTTACCAACTTTAGTTTTAAGTGTCCTGTGCAGCGATTTTCTGACATTGATGAGCATTGTGCCGTGTCCTTTGCTCAGGCTGACGGCAGCATGCTGCCAAGCAGCCAGGCCTGCAAAGATGTGACAGCAGTGTATGATTTCTCTGCCGGATGTACCGCGGAGTGTGTGCGGGGCGGGGGGTTGTGGTGGGTTTGGATGCTAGGGCACTGGGCTGGCAGAAGGCGGGACGATTCGCTGGGAGCTGTCAGAAAGCGTGGCAGGAAAAGGCCTACCAACTCTGAACGTACCATGTTTTTTTTCTATATGAGAGGGAGGCAGCCAGAGTATGCTGCACCCCATTACTCCTCTAGTTCACCTCTTCAGCATGCCGGCAAGTTGGAGGCTGACTTGGAACAAAATGGATGACCCCTTTTGGGAGTGTAGCGTAATATGAGCTATAGGCTCTACTCCTTAAAGGGGGTTATATAGGGGATTATGGGATTATATAGGGAACATTATAGGGTCAATGCCGGGGTCTGCATTGAAGCCGTTTACCAACACTGAAGCCAGACCACATACTATATCCTTTGCTGGTCTGTCAAGGAACTTAGATCAAATCACCACGTTCATATAAACGTAGTAAACAACAGGGTTCCCCATCATGGTGCTATGTAACCGCAGCCCAGTTTGTCTCCAGCACCATGCGGCTTCCTGGTGCAGGTAGAGACCATGAAAGCCATCAATCCCTCCATGGAGTTGCAGGCCCACGAACGTTGCCATGTGAAGCACGAACCTTGCCATGCCATTCGTGAATGGGTTCCGTTTTTTTGGGGTTTGTTAACGTCCTTCTTAGCAGGGCTTGCACATATTCTGGAGAGACCTTTTTGAGGTTCGTGTTCAGGAAAACCCATGGCATTTCCGCTGGATGTAAAGTGCGTGAGTAGCCAATCGATCCTTGACGGCCAACTAAGATCTTCTCAACAGCATGTGTCTCACTTGGAGGGTGAATTGCGACATTGAGAAACATCAAAGCACTTTCTTGCGAGGTGATTCGAATGATCTCATCTGGTGTGCTGCGAGAAAAACACTTTGCCGCAGACTCAGACCGAAGCGACTACTCCCCTCGCTCTCCATGACATGCCCTCGTCCTCTAGTAACAAATATCACCACAGAGGCTAGATGTCTTTCTGCAAGAACAGAGTATTTCTTGTGCAGGGGACATGATTACCAACAAGCAATAGGGTAGTTTCCCAAAATCAAGGGTACCCAATATAGACCCCAATATACTGTAGTCCTTATTATGGGGACCCCAAAAAGGTACCCCTAATTTCGGGAAACCCCTAATCCCTATAAAATCCCCCATAATAGACCCAGTTTCCATTTCATTTTCCATTTTCTTTTCCATTTGATTCTCCATTGTAGTAGGTACCCCTAATTTTTGGAAACCCTAAACCCTAAACCCCTAAACCGCTCTGCGGGAGCTGCGCCAAGCAAGGCGCCTGGCCTCCCGGGCCCCCCAACCAAGCGACCAGGTCCGGCATCGGGCATAGTGGAGGGCGCAGGTCCCAAAGCATCAAAGCCGAGGCCTCCCAGCATGCATCTTACTTCTGTGCTGGAGACTCCCAAGGCCGCGGAGGTGGTTTTCAAGCCTCCCCCGCCCCTCTTGGACACGGCGGTCCCACCGCGTCCCCCGCCGGGTCTCCCAAGCTCACCACCCAAGTCGAGCCAGCCCAGTGGGCCCGCTGGACCCCCCTGCCCAAGCCACAGCTCCCGGCGGCACCCCCAGCGCAGACCGCGGCAGAGGACACCGGCACGCATGACACGGGCATTCCGGACTCCGACCCTCGCAATTACCAACCACCTAAGCCGGATCAGCCCCCTGTTCAGGAAGAGCCCTCTCCGCCAGCTCCACCCCCCTCCCTGAAGGAGGAGGCGGGCCTGGTCGCTGCGCTTAAATCTTATGAGCTCCAGGAGTGGCTACGTGTCCTTTGCAGAATGCATGTCTTGACGCAGCAAATGCTGCTAGGCGGCCTAGAGTACGACGAGCTGATACCGCTTTGGGCCAAACGAATGAAGGTTATACTCGCGCCCCCGCCTTTGTTCGAGAGCGTAAAGTTGGCAAGGCGAGAAGGGGGTCACGTGGCATGTTGTCGAGACGGCGAAGCTGGTGGCAGGGGACAACGGCTTTGTCGCGGTCGCTACAGGCAGGGATGAGACCTACACCGTCCTGGATCGTGGCTCTAAGCTTCAAGGAGCACTCTCCGCCCTGTTTGGCAAGATGTGGGACCACCCACCGCTTAGCGAGATCGTTCAGGATCACAACCGCTTCATGCTCATCGCCACCTCCATCAAGGCTGTCTACGACTACACGGCCCGCAAAATGGAGCTACCGGCAAGATTGGTTGTCGCACAGGATGGCAAGCACGTGCACGTCAAGCACAACTGCGGCGACTCCCCGACCTATCTCCAGCAGCACCCGGAGCTAGCCCAGGCGGCGACAAAGCGCCAACGTACACAGCATCGCAGCCTACCTCCATCTCGTGCTCCTCGACCTGCATGGCTGGGGTCCCGACGCCTAGCCAGGCGTCTTCGACAATGA